CACCTCCGGCGTCTGACAAGCCCCCTTCCCCAAAATACATATTAACTTACTTGGATCGCATTGCGGAGTACACCAACCGTCGCGTCGAAGGAAATTTACCGCAGACAACGAGCAGTGAATGCATTAAGTTATATGATTCAGTAATCATTAAAGGTCAGCATCTTTAGTTTCGTCTGAATACCAGCCAGACTGCAACACAGAGCTCACCATTGACGTCTCGCAGTCTATTGCCAGAGGCAAACATGACTGTGGAATGTGTAATTCGTAAGCGTCGTAACACACGGATCAATAAATTCCAAAGGTGTTCATTATCTGCTGAAACGTTAAAAAATTATCTTTACTTACTTGGACCACGATGAAAAGTGCGCCCACGCCGCGGTCGTCATGCCGGCGGCAAACAAACATAGAGCGTGGGGGTCATTTCATAAACGTCGTGATCCACCGGCCCTCAAAGCCCAACATTTTCGCAAAGGTGGTAAACATGCTTTTGTATGGTTTCGAAAGCCAATAACAGACGTTTTTAGCTGAGATAAGCCGTGGGTCACGGTGTTTTTCTACTCACACACACCTCCGGTAAATCGACCGCGGAATGTCGATTACTGTAATTATGTGGCGGTCCGCGTAAGGAAATGCTTGAAGTACGTGTCAGCTTAGCAAGTCTTTTCAGGACAGTTGGTAATGAAGAAAAAGCCTTGTAAAACGAAACGAAACAAAAGGAAGGAGACTGCAATCAATCGTAGAAACATCAGGGTTCAGGAACAAGAGGGTGGTACCGGGAGGTGGTTCCCAAAAGTGGGAACGTCCCAAAAGTGGGCGGACAATATTTTTCCTTTTAAACACGTTGTTTCAATGTCCTATCATTTTGCTAATGTAAAAGAATAACGAAAAGTGAAGGTAAATTGGATGGGCCATGACACCACGGCCACGGCAACGGTGAGGTCGGTTACTGATAGTTGCTTTTATGTCGACCAAAGACGCTGATATTGCGGATTGCAGGTGTTGTTTGTGAGTGTCATAGGTATCTTTCGTAGTTTTAAAACATATCAAATGAGCTGTGGGACAAGAGGACACAGTAAGGTGGTTGTGTTCCTTAAATTTAGGAAAGAAATGCCCGGATTTGAAAGCAAAAAGTCATGCTACGCATGAACGCGCTCCAATAACCTGGCCTGCTTCCAAACTGGTACCAATTGAGGGTAGCAGAAGGACGATTGCAAGCGAATCATAATCAGCTTATTTTTGGTAGGACAGACAGTGGGCACTACTCAAAAATACGATGCGTCCAAACAATGTTAACAGCCATTTTTAAATGCTGCGACAAATTGCGTAATGCGATATTCCAAGCCTTTTAATATTTGTTCGCCACAGTGCGCGCAGTTATTAGATAAGATGGATGCATGTTGGTGTTGTCCCGATATGGTTTAGCGGTGGAAAGTTGCCAAAAGAACTTCGCACTAACCGAAATCTCACAGTACTTGCAAGCGATTTTGTTCCCTTACTTCATACGAAGAAAACCCATTCTTCGCTCTTGTGTTTTTTATAACAATACCCAAGGTAATGTTTAAAATGTAACTTTTTTGAGTAATGTTTTGGTTATTTAGTCGACTGAATGCAGTTAAGTCCATTCGCTGGCAGCACAACACCACCTTAGGCAGTAAAACGGCACGGCAACTGTCTGTGTGATTGCCGCTTTCTTATTAGCGCGCTGGTGTCTCGTGCCCGCCTACCCGGCCACTCACGAGCCGGGCGAGAGCCCCGCTCGCCCTGGTGGCGGGCCTGCAGGGAGCGGAGAGCGGCGCTGGCGCTCCAGTGGTGGGCTGCCTACCTGCAGAGAGCGGGGGGTGGCGTTGTCGGCGGCGGTGGCACCGGGGTCTGACTTCCGGGGCGGCGCGCCACACTTTTATACGCGGCTCCGGCCGACGCTGACGTCACAGACCTGTGCACAGCTAATTGTCGCCAGCACTCGCCGGGTTCACGCCGGCCGCGACCGGGAGAGCAGTCAGGCAGGCTGTGCTGCTGTTCTGCACTGCCCGAAGTGGTAATTTCTTCCTGGGGACTTCAGCAAGGTTGGCGGGACTTTTTTGTCAGACAAATGGTGAAATGTGCATGTACAAACAATAACTAATAGCTCGTTCGAACTTCAGAGCTGTAATTTGCC